CAAGGAACTGAATGCATAAGAAACCCTCCATCAATTACTACATTTCAATTTTCTTCCTCCGTTACGCCATCTGTAATGCCTTCGGAGAATACTTTCAGGGATGAAGACTTCATACCTTTACGTAAGGAAAAGTCATCAAACGGGGAGGGTCGCAAAGAAGCTATTTCGTAACTGAGGTACAATTTTAACTTACTGGGACTGTCGTAATTCTACATTTTGTTCATAAAAAGTTATTTTACTGCCAAGAAACTCCTCAACAGCTTCTTGCACTTTAATGCAATATGGAATCCCAAAAATCCACTTTGATAATGTGGTCTCCGCTAGTCTCCGCTATCCCCCTACCGTGAGTCAAGTCTCCAACTGATTTCATGGGGCGCATCAGGCATTACTCGATCGTCATATCGGTCCAAATTCCTGACCACCATTTTCCACTTCTACTAACAGGGAAATAACCTTTGTTGACGAACATGTCATATTCTTCTTTGGACAGTTTGGTTTCCAATGGAAGCATCTCTTGTTCATACATATGAGCTGATTTGGCATAAAGAAGGTGTCCTGAAGCGTGGAAATACGGCAATATTTCAATGGTTGTTTTTAAGTGCATTTGCCAGTTTCATAAATATGTAGAATGTAACAAACTAGTAGTAGAGATAATCTCAGATATTATTTAGATGTTAATAATAAGTAGAGTTGGATCTATCAGACAAATGTAAATAGATACATACCTTAGATGTGCTGAGACACTAGAGTCGGCAAGGAGGTACGAATCGCAACTGCGTGGATCACTGACCTGCCTCCATCTTATACTGCGAATATACAGGGTGAATCTCGTAAGGTGTCCAGTATTGATTTCAGACAAACCGTTGGTCCTACGATGATGAAGTAAAACTATTTCCCACTAAACCAACCCCAAGGAATAACGTAAAAATATGTTAAACGATTTTGAAATACAGGGTGTACCAGAAACTGAGGGACACTAGTCCGAATCTACGAAATATCAAATACAAACGTATATCATGTTATACATCAAATTAAAGCTCTTTTCAATCCAAACCATTTGGCGGAATCGGATTTTGATCTCCAAAACAAAAAGTTTCAAAAATATCAGTTTTTGAAAATATGTACATAGCCAAAACTCAAAAATTTTAAACTATGCGTATCTATTTTGGTTTTTGAGTTATTAACAAAAACATGTTTTCCCGCATTAAAACGCATGTTATTTGTTAAACATAATGGTAAAGGCTGGATCATAGTTCTAGGCGTCTGGCTGACGCATACGCATTAATTTGCTGAGTTAATTCCCCATCTGTCAAAACTTGGGCTAACATATGATCAAATGCAAATTCGTTATTACGCATGCGTCAGCCAGACACATAAAACTATGGTCCGGCCTTTAATAGTCCTATACATAGAGTAAATCTTATTTTATAAAAACTACAATAATAAAGAACTTGAGTCTTTAAAAAATATTCTTGATGTTACATTTGTTACTAAACCACTATAAACAAACTTTTTGTGTATAAAATATTTCTAAATTTACCATTATTTTTAGGTGCTACTGGATAAACTATTTACATATGCTAAAAATGCCTTCCCCCTACTTCTAAAACCATTTCAAGTCTTTTAGGAAGGTTGTTTACAGCACGACGTACTTCTTCTTCATTTATTTGCCTACACGCCAACCGTATCCTTTCTTTCATCTCATCTCGAGTGGTAGGAGCTGTTCCATACACCATGTCTTTCAGTCTCCCCCAGATGTAAAAGTCCATGACCGTTAAATCAGGGGACCAAGCCGGGCAAGGGATGGGACCTCCTCTCGCAATCCACTTATTACTATCATCGCTGTTAGAGTTTGACGAACGTCAATAGCGTAATGCGCTGGACAACCGTCTTGCATGAACTACATTTCTCTTTGTACGTTGATGGGAATGGGCCTTAACAGCTCGAGAAATTCTTTATTTAAGAATGCATTGTACATTACACCATTTAGATTCATTTCGAAGAAATGAGGACCAATTATTTACCCATTAAACACCGCACACCACACATTAAGGGTCCACTGTCTTTGATTGTTCACTTCCCGTAGCCAATGTGGATTCTTCCTGCTCCAATACCGCATATTGTGTCTATTAACGTTACCGTTGCTTTTGAGTGTCGCTTCATCACTCCACATGTTGTGAGCAAAGTTAGTTAGGATCATTAGAAATTTCATTTTGAGCCCAAATAGCAAAATTAATGCGGTGGAGATAATCATCTGCTTCTAATTCTTGATGCAGCGAAATGTGGTATGGATGGAAATCATTAGCCTTAAGGATCCTACAGACTGACACCTGGCTAATACCGGATTCCCTAGAGAGAACTCTGGTAGACACATGAAGATTAAGTTCTACTGCAGCTAAAATATCCGGTGCTCTTGTCTGTCTTACTGGCATAGCTTTTAGTCTTTTTTGGATGGCTGAACGTTTCCAGTCGTTCATACTCGTTGAGCTAAACGTACAAAATCTTTACGGCACTGGCGCTGCAAATCAGGAAACCGCTCTGCACAACTCAACAATACTAAATAACAGCGGATAAATAACAGCTGACTATTACCACCATGTTTAACATATTTTCAAAAACTGATATTTTGGAAACTTTTTGTTTTGGAGATAATATTGAAGTGTTGCATATCAAAATAAAGCTTAGCTCATAAGAAATGCGATATTTGAATCAGAATCAAGATATCTGCACTTTCAAGACAAATACAGGGTGTTCAAAAAAATACTATTTTTTCACAAAAACAGCCGCTATTTTGAAATGAATCAATATAATCAAAATCCGATTCCGCCAAATGGTTTAGATTGAAAAGAGCTTTAATTTGATGTATAACATGATATACGTTTGTATTTGATATTTCGTAGATTCGGACTAGTGACCCTCAGTTTCTGGTACACCCTGTATTTAAAAATCGTTAAAGATATTTTTACGTTATTCCTTGGGGTTGGTTTAGTATAATTTTACTTCACCATCGTAGGACCAACGGTTTGTCTAAATCAATACTGGACACCTTACGAGATTCACCCTGTATACGCGAATACCTTTCATCTAACGGGAGTATTACCGTTACACAGAATCGCTGATGTAAAATATTCTTGGTGAAACACCGGAAGAAAGTTCCGGGAGACCAAGTTTCCTTCGGATTCAAAATGGAAACTTTCTCATTGCTTAGTATCACTTGGATATTTACATTGTTTATCTTTACAGTTTCTACATTAAGTGTAGTAAGGATTACACGGTATTTACAATTTTCGAATATTCTCTGCTCGTCATCCTAGTGTTGTTTCAGTGAAAAGCGGTCTCACACAAAAATATATATATTCAAGGCAAAACCGGAACATAATCAAGTAACAACATGGAGTAAAATATTTGTAAAGTCCAATAACAGTACACATAATCAATTTTGTGGTTGCTTCATATATACAGTGAATAACATTTTTACACAAAATATATACTCAAACCAAAACACACATGTCACATTTTAATCAAGTAACACCATAAGGTAAAAAGATTTTTAAGTTCAATAACAGTGCGAGAAATATCACTATGAACAGTACACATATCATAAGTTTAAAACAAAACAAAGTGTTACTCCTGCTCCAGTGAATAGCGTTTGTACATAAAAATATATACTCAAACCAAAACAGGTGAAGCACACAATCAAGTAACAAGATTTATGAAGTTCAATAGTTGGAGGAAAAGCAGTGAAATGTCAAACTATGAACAGTACACATGGGAAATTTTGGTGTCGATCCGCATGCAGTGAATAGCGTTTTTATACAAAAATATATACTCAAACCCAAACAGGTGAAACACACAATCAAGTAACATGATGGAGTAAAGTTGTTGGCGGTAAAATATCGTAAACTATAAACTGAACACATGGTGGGGTAATTTGGGGTTGCTCGTCCTGATACAGTGAATAGCGTTTTTACACTACTGATGTTTATGAAACTTGGAGAACATTGTATTTAAGTTATTGAATGTTGGTTTGGTTAAGGTTGGAGAAGAGGTTCCGGGAACAGATAGAAATTTTAATTGTTTTGCCTACATATATCTGCGGCCTTGGACTGCTTGGCTTAACCAGAGACTGCCTTTTTAATTCTAATTGTTTTGCCTACATATATCTGCGGCCATGGGCTGCTTTACTTAACCAGAGACTGTCTTTTTAATTATAATTGTTTTGCCTACATATATCTGCGGCCATGGGCTGCTTTACTTAACCAGAGACTGTCTTTTTAATTCTAATTGTTTTGCCTACATATATCTGCGGCCTTGGACTGCTTGGCTTAACCAGAGACTGTCTTTTTAATTCTAATTGTTTTGCCTACATATATCTGCGGCCTTGGGCTGCTTTACTTAACCAGAGACTGTCTTTTTAATTCTAATTGTTTTGCCTACATATATCTGAAGCCTTGGGCTGCTTTACTTAACACGTTCGCTGCTGAAATTGCTGTAATAGACATTGGTATATGCTGAAATATATTTTTTTTTATTTTACTTACCAAACGATGTTATATGGTGAATATCAACTGGAAAAGAGATCCCGATGCTCAAAACATATGTTTCCGCCATTTTGGATGTTTGACGTTCTGGAACGTCGGCAGCTCCTGGGGATGGTGTTCCAAGTTTCAAGACGTTCTGGAACGTTTGTAGCTCCCAGAGACGTATTTTTTCATGGGTCATTGCTTAGCACGATAATTAGTTATACTATATAAAAGGTGTGTGAAAAACTATGTACAACCCCTCCAACCCACCCTAAAGAATACTCAATGGAACAAAAGTGGTTTTATTCAATTCTACAAATAAAAAAAAACTACATTTACACGAATAAAATATTTCTCAAATTCACATTTACACAAATTCAAATTCACATTTACACAAATTCAAATTCACATTTACACTAATTCAAATTCACACGCAAAAAGTAGATAAATATGTCATGTTACACTTCCCAATGTACATTACTGATGAAAGTCGTCGAAGCACTTAGGGACGCAAAATCCCGGGCTGCCTTCGCACTCTAAGCAGTGCCAGGTTACGTCCTTTCTTCTTCCGTTGGAGGAGCAGACCTTGCAGCGCTTCTGCTTTAGCCGTTTGCCATCTGGCTTCAGCTCAGTGATGCGCGTTGGCGTGTGCATCACTGACTTCCTCTTCAGGGGGCGCTCAGGCGGTGCTGTGTCTGGCAGCATTGCGTCGACGACTCTCAGGCGGAAATCGTAGAGGGGCATTTTCTTTCCCCCGGCTGCTACTTCAACTTCATTATACAGATAGTGGGCGTTGGACAGCAGCATCTGTAAGACATGTATAAATATCTTTTTGTACCACCTGATCGTTTTTCGCTCACAGGGGTAGTATGCCATCATTTGATCGGCACGATCCACTCCCTTCATAAAATGATTGTACTGGACGATGGGGAGTGGTTTCGTCCTCTCAAGCCTAACTCTGTTGAGGGAGGTGACCATTTCATTGGTAAATTCAGTGGAAATGTAGGACACAACTCTTTTATCTTTCCACTTACCCACCATGACCCCCTCAGAATACTGGCAAACTGTTTCACCCTTTTTCAGCTTCTTGTTCTTGACTGCAGTTGGATTGTACTTTCTGTCAAGTCTTAGTGTACCTGTACAGTACGTGTTCTTACGCAACAGCGCAGACGCAAGGGAGAAGCTGTTATAGAAATTGTCCAGGAATAAGCTGTGTCCACAGTTCAGCTTGTTTTGCATCAAATGAAGCACTACATTTGCTGCGTGCCCTTTCCCTCCAAAATCATCCAAAACACCACAGTACATAAAGAACTTCACTATCAATCCATGGGGGTCACACAAGGTGTACAGTTTGATTCCGTACTTATGTCTTTTACCCTTGATGTACTGCCTAAAGTATAGGCGCCCACGCCACAAAACCATTGACTCGTCAACACATAGTTTCTTTTGAGGGTAATACACCTGGTTCATTTTGTTGTTGAAGTAGTCCACAAGAAACTGCACTTTGCTGGCACGATTACTTGGATCAGGTCGAACTTCAAAGTTTATGCATCGCATAATGATTAGAAAACGATCCCTGCTCATGAAGGACGAAAAACAAGATTTGAACAGTTTGTTATTTTTCCAATAGTCCTGGATTTTGGGCAACTCAATAACTCCCATATGGATAACTAGAGCAATAAAAATCTTCAGTTCTTCCACAGTTAAGTCTTTGAACTTCGTGATTCTTGATCTTGGGAGGGTCGACGGTCCACAAAATAAACCTAATGCATAGGCGTTTGTGGCCTTTACAATGTTCTCATAAAAAAGGTCGTCCACCAGTAGATTAAAAAAACTCACCGGCGATTTTTCTTCTGGTAATGGCACCAGAAAACCTTCCTCTTTTGTGAAAGGAATTTCTTTCATCCCAATGGCACAATGATTGCTCCAGTTTGGAGGGTTTTCTTCGTAATTTGGGTCCTCGTCTTCAGACACCAAACCAAACTCCAAATCATCCAGATTGTCGTTGTCTGGATCGCCCGGGTCGTCTGGGTCGTCTGGATCCAAGTCCAAGTCACTGTCATCATCCAATGTGCGTGTTCGAATTGGATAAACCACCCCACTGGGACCTGGACGTTGATCCATATTGTACCAAACAAAATAAAATGAAACAACACTCTCCGAAAGGTAAGTTGTACGTCGATAAAAAGTTTTAGGTTACGCCAAAATGGCCTTTCACACCCACAAGTTTATGAACTTCACACGTAAGTTAGGCCTACTAATGAAATGAGTTCAAAACATTATGGTGGTTATGAGTATATAACGAGCAATTAACTTTTCACTAAAACCAAATAAAAACTAACTAACTAACTAACTCAACTTATGTAAATAAACAACTTGGAACAAAATGTAAATAAACATGAAAAACAATGGTTGCGATCAGCGCGCCCTCTGTTGTCAGCTAATTTTTCAACCACCCGTACCCACAATTCAACCACTCGTAGTTACGGAGATTTCCGCAGATACTAGATAGCAGCACTAATCAGGTCAAGAAGATTCCTATTTTATGGTAGCGGCAAACAGCGAAATATTCGGGGGTGCGATTTGCGCGCCATCTGTTGTCAGCTAATTCTTCAACCACCTGGACGTGGTTACGGAGATTACCGTAGATAGCAGCACTAATCAGGTCAATAAGATTACTAATTTTGTTTCTGTAGCGACAAACAGCGAAATATTCGGGTGTAAACAATTTCTCAAAATAGTAACGTGCGTTACGTAAACTTGTTATTTATATATTTATTTGACAAATGTAAAAAAAATGCTATCTAAAAACTGACATTGCAAAAAATGCGGGAAAAGTACGTCCCCACAAGCGGCAACAATATTGTGTGTGTTCCTGATATGCTGTGTTGTCCATAGCAACTTTAATAGAACGTTGCTAGGGAACGTTCCAGAACGTCGCCCGCTCCTGGCGCTCTGTCACGGTGACGTTCCGGAACGTCGGCCGCAGCGAACGTGTTAACCAGAGACTGTCTTTTTAATTCTAATTGTTTTGCCTACATATATCTGCGGCCATGGGCTGCTTTACTTAACCAGAGACTGTCTTTTTAATTCTAATTGTTTTGCCTACATATATCTGCGGCCATGGGCTGCTTTACTTAACCAGAGACTGTCTTTTTAATTCTAATTGTTTTGCCTACATATATCTGCGGCCTTGGACTGCTTGGCTTAACCAGAGACTGTCTTTTTAATTCTAATTGTTTTGCCTACATATATCTGCGGCCTTGGGCTGCTTTACTTAACCAGAGACTGTCTTTTTAATTCTAATTGTTTTGCCTACATATATCTGCGGCCTTGGGCTGCTTTACTTAACCAGAGACTGTCTTTTTAATTCTAATTGTTTTGCCTACATATATCTGCGGCCTTGGGCTGCTTTACTTAACCAGAGACTGTCTTTTTCTTTGCATGCCTGGAATAGGCATCTCGTAATATTTTTCATTTCTTGATTAACTTTGATCCTGAAACAAATAATTACTATGGTACTGACAGTTTGTATTGACAATTTGCATTGCCTTTCTTTGAGATAAGCGTTACAAATAAATAATATATTATTATGTTTTTATTCTTGGTATCTTGGAGTTACATTACCACTACAGAATTAAACATTCTACAGTGACGCAAATCGTAAGAAGAGTTACCAAATTCTGTTTGGAGAGAACTACATGAATAGTGTATACCAAAATTCACTCAAGAAGGTTGGTTGGAAAATGCACTGACATTTTGGGAACGTGCGAATTTCCAACACTGCATTGGTGCCCAAGATGGAACAGTCCATGTAACTTCTTAGAATTATAGATACCCAAGTAACATTTGCATTTATATGAACAATAAATTACAAGTTTCCATTTATAAGTTATAAGTTTTATAAGTTACTACTTATCCGTATTGTCCAACCAGAATACAGTGGTTCGCAATATTTTTATTATAACAAGTTCTTTTCTGTAATCTTATTTGCAGTTGCATATGCTGACTACCGGTTTAATTACGTAGAGGTAGGCTCCTGAGGTAGGGAAGCTGACAGTACAATTTTCGAACATTCTAAGCTCTACCGATTGTTGGATCTAGCTAATTTACCCAACCCAGACCCTCTTCTTGGGGCGACAGACATAGTTATGCAATTTGTTTTTGTTGGGGATGAGGCCTTCTCATTATCAGAGTATGTTATGAGGCCTTACACAGGAAAATTCCTTTCCTATAACAAACGAGTTTACAATTACCGCTTGTGTAGGGCACGACGATATGTGTAATGCACATTCGGAATAATGTCTAATAAGTGGAGAATTTTCCATAGAGCTTTGGATGTCAACTTGGATTTGGTTGTAGCCTTAGTGGAATGTTGCTGTGTTTTACACAATTTTGTTCGATCAAGAAATGGCTACAGGCAAGAAGAAGACACCCTGAGATGAACGGATTATATGACATGGAAAACACAATCGAGCAAGGAAAGGTGGACGACCGCTCACAGATAAGAGGAATATATTGGCAGAATATTTTGTGTGCAGTGTCTTGGCAATATTCATGTATTTGAAAAATCACATCACCTGTTGCATTGGACCATTTACAGGGTACAAAACGTATATGGAAACTTTAAGCTTAGTCAAACTTTGTGTTTTAATGTTTATACGATTGTATAAATAAAGGTTTGTGCGTGTGCTTTGTTAATTTCTCATTATAAATTTCTCATTTACCTATAGAGTTAATTTATTGTCTAATTTTTATTAACTTATACTGTATAGGTAATAATTCTCATCGCATTATGACATTAGGACTTAAGTTCAACAATAACGTTATTTATATGGGGAACCATGTTTGTTGTTGATATCTAGAAAACTAATAGAGATACCGGAAAAGTTTTAATTTTAGTTACATGGGGATGGAATATCTAGTTGTTGTATTAATAGTCATAGGTAAAGCTAAGGTCATAAGAAATGCAAAATTCAAATCGTAATAGAGCCATTTGTAAATAAAAATTAAATGATTCAAAATAGTACTAAGTTCTCACACATTTAAGTATTTTGAAAACGAATAAAATAGGTCTTATTCGGATTACGCCATAATGTTTTTACAAGAGCTTTTCAATAATTGATAATGAAACATGTTTTGTTCTTGAAAATTGTGAGACTTGAATTAGTGTTTACTAATTGGTACATTGGTTTAAAATTGGTACATCCAGCATTTAAAAAAATCAATATTTTTACTTTAGCAGAGTTCTACCCAGTCAATTCAAGATGGCAGCTAGACGTGCAAATGGGACTAACGCACAAAAACACTTTGATGTACTACATGGGAAATTCGCTTGTGGTGCCACTACACTGCCAAAGACTATAACCATATGTCTTGTATTTATTTTAATCATGTTGTTTATTATTTTAGTTATCCTAGCAACCTAGGTAACAACAGATTTTCTGACTTACAATCTATAGTGGATTACAATAAATCCATTCGTTGTAAATTAAATAGCCTTTTACTAGAATGATTCGTTTTAGTGCGTCCATCCACTTTTTTTTTTTTTTTTTTTTTTTTTAGGGTGAGGAGGGAAAATGCTTTTACGCACACAGGTAGCCAGCCTGTAGTGTGAGACTCCTGAGTTTATCACAGACTACTCACTAAAAAACCCCCTCTACTCTGTTGGACACAGACCTGGAATTGTTTGTCACATTACTTCAAGTCAGGCCAACATGTGACCTAAGCCCACAGGGCTCGCACCGTTTCTGGCATTATTTATTTTTTGACCTACACCGCATCCCGGTCGAGGTCAAGCTTCTTGGCGCGGAGAACACCCTGGATGTAAAGTGACACACAGGTCCAATTGTCCTCACCCTCCATCATCATCGGTATGACCGTGTCCACCGACAGCAGTCCTACGAACTGTTGAGCCTCTAGGCGGGGCCTTTCCCAATGCTGGCAGTGGAAGAAAGTGTGTTCCACGTCATCGGGAATGCCTGGGCAGTATATGCAATCGGGTGACACGGCTTTGCCCATCCTGAACAAGTACGACCGGAAAAAGCCGTGACCCGTCAGAAATTGGGTGAGGTAGAAGTTCACCTCTCCGCACCGCCGATTAACCCAAGGTTGGACCTGTTGTATCAGTCGCCTGGTCCAGAGCCCCCTTGTCTCCTGTTCCCAGCTCTCCTGCCACAGCTGGAAGGTCCGGGTGCGTTCCTCAATACTTGCCTGGTCCTCCCCACGGCGCTGATAAATTGCCTTCCTCTCCGCCGCCAAAAGTTTGACGGGGATGACTCCAGCAACCACCAGGACGGCGGGTTCGGACACTGTTCGATAGGCAGATGCTACCCTTAGTGCTGCCTGACGCTGCACTCGGGCGAGCCGCATCCTATATACCTCCTTATTGAGAGCGTCTGCCCAGACCTCCGCACCGTACAGGAGCACTGACTGGACCGCAGACATCAACAGCCTTCTGCGGCTGGACCGTGGACCTCCGACATTGGCCATTAACCGACTAAGGGAAGAAACCATTTTAGCGGCCTTGTCCGCCGTACGGGTGATCTGGTCTCGCCAGCTGAGCTTGCTGTCCACCATGACCCCAAGGTACTTTGCGGCACGAGTGGTTTGGACTTCAACGTTCCCCACCATCAAAGGCACGATGGTGTCAATCCTCTTTTTAGTCAGAATGACAATCTCAGTTTTGCTCAGAGCGAGCGAGAGACCATGTTCTGCCATCCATGCGTTAATGGTTCGCATGACTCGATTTAGTTTCAGCTGGGCAAGCTCAATGCTACGTGCAGCTATTAAAGCCGCAACGTCATCTGCATACCCAACTAGGACGGTTTCCTCAGGCATCTCGGATCTCAAGAGGCTGTCGTAGGCGACGTTCCACAGGTCCGGGCCCAGTATGGATCCTTGAGCAGCACCAGAAGTTACATCCATCGTCCTGGAGCCTTCTGTAGTGTCGTAAATGATGAGGCGGTACCGGAGGTAGTCCTCTATCATGCGCATGAGGTATGCCGGGACGTGGAAAGTGTTCTCCAGTGCGTCGAGCATATCGCACCACCTCGCGGAATTAAATGCGTTTCGCACATCAAGTGTTACAAGCAGCACAACCCGACGAGAATAGTTGTTAAACT